AGTCACATTTTGTAAACTTTGTTCTAGAGTAGAGGGTGCAAACCAGTGGGCTATTCATGTATTCATATGTGCATGTTGAGTCTGTTTCATGTTATTTTAAAATTTTCCACCAACATTTTATTTTATTATTATTATTATTTGGATACAAGATCTCCCTCTCTTGCCTGGGCTGAAGTGCAGTAATGTGATCCTATTCCCAGGCACAAGTGATCCTCTCACCTCAGCCTCCCAAGTAGCTGGAACTACAGGCACATGTCACCATACCTGGCTAATTTTTTTGTGTGTGTGTGGAGACAGTGTCTCACTGTGTTACCCAGTCTGGTCTTGAACTCCTGGTCTCAAGCAGTCCTCACACTGCAGCCTCCCAAAGTGCTGAGATTACAGGTTTGAGCCACCGTACCTGGCCACCAATATTCTAAAAGGGTAGATTTCACATAAAAATCAGGATTTGGGCAAATGTGGTGGTTCATGCCTATAGTCCCAGCCCTTTGAGAGGCCAAGGTGAGAAGATCTCTTGAGCTCAGGAATTCGAGGCTAGCCTGTCCAACATAGTCAAACCCCAGTTCTACAAAAAAATACAAAAATTAGCTGGGTGTGGTGATACAAGACTGTAGTCCTAGCTACTCAGGAGGCTGAGGTGGGAGGATCACCTGAGCCCAGGAGGTAAAGGTTGCAGTGAATTGAGATCATACCACTGCACTCTAGCCTGGGTGACATAGCCAGACGTTTAAAAAAATATGGATTTCTAGATTCCCTGGAAACATCAGAAGATGTAGCTATCCATATCTGGACCCACATTCCCTCCTGTCCATAATGGATGAGAAGGGAGTAGCTGCTGCCCTCTTTAGATGGAGCATGAACCCTGCAATCATAGTCTTTACCCAGTATGCTTTGTTTCTCTGTGCTAACTGCCTGGTTCTTGTAGGAATTTAAGTTTGAGATTCCTGTAGTTTCCATGAAGGGAATGGACAACATTATTAAAATGAAACACAAGCCATCAGAGTCTGAGCAGTGAAAAATCTTGAAAGGAGAATCTCAGAGAGTAAGAATCTTAAAGTCAGAGACTAAGTGGTGATATCCTTGCAGCCAGAGAAGATCCCACAAATAAGTAAGAACATGCAATGTTTGTCTTTCTGTGCCTGACTTATTTCACTTAACATAATGATCTCCAGTCCCATCCATGTTGTTGCAAGTGACTGGATTTCATTCGTTTTTATGGCTGAATAGTACTCCATTATGTATATGTACCACATTTTCTTTATCTGTTCATCTGCTGATGAACACTTAGGTTGCTTCCGAATCTTAGCTATTGTAAACAGTGCTGCAACAAACACGGGAGTCCATATAACTCTTTGACATACTGATTTCCTTTCTTTTGAATATATACCTAGCAGGGGGGTTGCAGGATCATATGGTAGCTCTATTTTTAGTTTTTTGAGCAAACTTCCAACTGCTCTCCATGGTGGTTGTACTTAATTACCCTTAATTACATCACCAACAGTGTACAAGGGTTCCCTTTTCTCCACATCATCACCAGCATTTGTTATTGCCTGTCTTTTGTATATAAGCCATTTTAATTGGGGTGAGATCATATCTCATTCTAGTTTTGATTTGCATTTCTCTGATGATCGGTGATGTTGGGCACTTTTTCATATGCCTATTTGCTGTTTGTCTTCTTTTGAGAAATGTGTTTCAAATCTTTTGCCCATTTCGATTACATTTTTTTCTATAGATTTCTTTGGGCTCCTTATGTACTGTATTTATTAATGCCTTGTCATACGTGTAGTTTGCAAATATTTTCTCCCATTCTGTCAGTTGTGTTTTCTTAATTGTTTCCTTTGCTGTCCAGAAGCTTTTTAACTTGATGTGATTCCATTTGCCAATTTTTGCTTAGGTTACCTGGGCTTGTGGGGTATTGCTCAAAAAATCCTTGTTCAAACTGGTGTCCTGGAGAATTTCCCCAGTGTTTTCTTGTAGTATTTTCATAGTTTGAGGCCTTAGATTTAAGTCTTTAATCCATTTTGATTTGATTTTTGTATATGGAGAGAGATAGGGGTCTCATTTCACTCTGCATATGGAAATCCAGTTTTCCCAGCAGCATTTATTGAAGAGACTGTCTTTTTCCCAGTGTATGTCCTTGGCACCTTTGTCAAAAATGAGTTCATTGTAGGTGTGTGGATTTGTTTCTGCTTCTCTATTCTGTTCCACTGGTTCTAGGACCCCTCAGGCAACTGCCATGGAAACAATGGCATCTCCTTTCCTCTCCAGCTTGATACATGGGCAAGTTCAGCTGCCTGGGGCTATTCCATTCTACCAATTCCTTGAGTGAGGATGGGGATATGATGGGCAAGGTCCAAGCTGCCAGCTTCCTGACCAGTTTATCTGGCCCTTGATGAAGGGGAAAGTGTTGCTCTGATTCCCTCCTTGGCACCTGGTGGGTAGCTAGTATTCAGACCCCACTACCAATTGGCTCGTGAGTGACTCTCTGCCCAGAAAGCATTGCATTGGTTGCCAGCCCCAAGCCACTTTCTGAGACTTTTTCTCCATTGGCTGCAGCTTCATGCAATGGAGTCCCCATGCCCGTCTCTGAGTTCTACTGTTTATGTGCCCTGTCGATGGCCCTGACTGCTGACTCCTCTCCATCACTGGGTGAGGGGCATAAGCTCTTGAGGTTCCCTGGATCTCCATAGCCCCAACCCTATTCCCTGTGTACCTCCATGCCAGACTGCCTTGGGATTTCTTTCACCCATCTCCACACCCCCAGGCTTTGAGCAAGGAGCTCAGAAGCTTTGTTACATATAGCTGTAAAGCTCCTGGCCTCCATTGTCATCATCTTTGCCTACACCAGTGTGTTCTCCTCCATCCACACCACTGGAGCCCACTTGCATGGTGCCGTCTCCCCATGAAGTCTCCATTGCAATCTGCTACTTCATTTTCTTCACTGACAATGGGCAGGCGCTGGCTGCTCATCTTTCTCCTGATGGGAGAAGAGCCCACCAGCTCCTCCCCGTCTTGGAGCTGGAGATGCCAGGTGAGGGGACCAAGTTCTCCCTATGAAGTCTGACTGGCAGGAAAGTCACAGGGCAGGGGGGGCTACCATTTTTTGATGTCTATGCATGAGGCACTGTGCAACCACATTCACAACTATTGGCTTATTTAGCCTTGACAACAACCTTACAAGATACAAATTGTTCTTACCCTTATTTTCTGAGAGGAAAAGGAAATCAGAAATGTTAAATGTGCCACTTAAGGTCACACAGCCAGGAAATGATATAGCTAGATTTGAGCCTGGGTCTGACCACTTTCTACCCTCAGCCACTCTGGCAAAAGAGCACTAGAGAGTTCACAGGCAGATTGTCAGATTTCTATGCAGAATTTCCCTATGGCCTGGTTTCTTTGAGTCAGTGGGTCAGGGAAAGCAGAAGAGGAGAGACTATGGTTAGTGGGGCTGGGAATTTGAAGACACGTTCTCTGGCTCCAGAGAAATGCAGCCTACTCAGAGTGGGTAGAGGTACAAGACTCAGAGCTAGAAATGGCTAGGAGTGGTGCTTGCTTTGTGAATGAGAACGAGAAGCCTGGGCAGCCTCATCATGAAATTCATTCCTACATTTAGAGGCACGATGGAGTAGGCAGAAATGAGGGATGGGGGCCCTGCTTTACACAGGAGGATGCTAAAGCCCAGCAGAAGCTCTTCTACTTGGAGCTACCTCTTCCAGACTGCCAGACACTGAGCAACTGGGTCAGGGTAGCAGAGTCCAGAGATGCAAGGCTGGGGAACTCTCTGGCCCTTCCAAGAGCCTCCCTCCTCTTTATCCATATCCTAGCAGCCATCACCCTAGTGCTGAGCCCCGTCCTCTATACCCTACCACCAGCCTCCTTCCAAGACAAGGTGGCCAGTGCTTGGGCCAGAAGGCCCTGATGCCTTCCTCAAGAACTACTAGCCAGAGCATCACACTGATATCCCAGCACCACAAGAGTGATCTCTGAGCCCATACTCACACACAAGGGGCCTTCACTTAGTTTTCCCAAATGCAAGGGGCCGACTGGGTCCCCTGCTCTACCTCACTCCCTTCAAGGGCCAGCGAAGACCCCCAGGTGGCAACAGTGAAGAAAAGCCAAGGCATATAGGGACAACTAAATCCAAGAGAGAATGGAAGGTGGTGACAGAGCAGTGGGACTGGGCAGGCACCCCACTGTTCAGGCCAGGTAAGATTGCAGACTTGGGTGGTGCGACCTGAACACTTACTGAGCCAATTAGCAAGGCGTGACTGGCCTTTTTTGACCCATGAGGAGGCTGGGGTATCCTTTTTTGACCCATGAGGAGGCTGGGGTATCTGGAGAGCAAGGCTTCCCTTCCCAGTCTACTGACAGCCCTTCAGGGATGCAAACATCCAAAGCATGGACTTTCTCTCTAGCTGCTCTTCAGAGTCTGGGAATTTTATGGCCACACAACATGGCAGAAGAAAGCCCCTTCCTTTCAGGAAATCAAGATGAGAGGGTCTCTCTAGCCCCCTGGGCTTTGGGGTCAATGGAGCCAGACCAGAGTCTCCCTTAAAGCACTTAGACCTCTTAGGTTGGCTTACAGGTAGCACAGGGACCCCTAAGCCTCCTGGGCTGGGACTTCACTCTTCATTCGTGCCATTTAGAAGGGGAAGGAATGGGCACCTAGCCAGGCTCATCTCTCCCTAGGATGCCTGAGGTCATGCTTGTGGCCAGGTCATGAGATGGGGTTTGCAGCTTCTGCCCAAGTTCTGGCTGACTCATCCCCTCCCTGCACCCCCCAACCACTCCTGGCTGAAAATCCCTCTCCAAAGAGAAGAGCTGAGGCCCTCCCTGTTCCTCCTGTGGACTCACCCAAGTCCTGCTTCCAGTAAGCTGAAACCCAGCAGAGGGTGAGGTGAATGCTCAATGCTCTGAGCCCTAACATTGAGGCCTCAGTTGCAACCCCCGTCCCCATTCCCCAGCCCACTGTCAGCAAAAAGACAGCCACACAGTTAAAGTGCATCTCTGGTAATGCTTTATTGAATGGCTCCCTACAGCTCCATTCTCATCTGAAGTGCCCCTCAGGCCTTCCAGACCATTACCCCCATCCAGAGATGATAACTCATGAGAATTGATATATGTGTGTGTCTGTGCAAATGCGTGTGTATATATATGTGTGTATATGTATCTATATACACACACATATATATATTAGCTGTACAGTATTTATAGGTACAAATAAAATAGGCTTGAAAATTACAGTGGTGGTTGGGACCCATCCCATTTCAGTTTACTCAGCAGATAGAAAAATAAAGCACCAGTGGCCTTTGAATGGAATTTGAATTTCCGTGTGAGCAAAGATGGCTGGCCGGTGGGAGAGAACAGGTTTGGCTTAAGCTCCAGCTGGCTATGATAGGCCCTTCCATCTGGCTGGCTCAGGGGCCAGGTATCTGCTTGAGAAAGGGGCTGTTATATTAGCCCATTACCATAGGCAAAAGGGACAAGGACACAGACCCTTGTCTCTTAACCATGCTCTGCTTTTGCTTGGCCTGGGCAGTGGCTGTGCGTGGCCAAAGGCTACAGAGGACCCCATGGGGTGGCGGATTAAGTATGAAATCCAAGTCAGGAAAAACTGGTTTCATTGGCATCTTGAGATCTGAGAAAGGAAGGTTCTCCACCCTCACATCCCAATCTACGCCAATTCGTCATGTCGTGTATTAGTGGCCCATCAGAGCCCACACTTAACTCAGCCTCATAAAATTCGGCATCGTATTTACACAAATGAAACAGTTCGTGGTGATTGGGGCTGCCCTGCACTCCACCCCTGTGCCCATTCATTCCAGTCCAATTCCTCTAAAGAAGCCACTTCAGGGCCAAGGTTGGCCCTGAAGGCAGGACCAGAACCTCCTGTCCCATCTCAAAATCACCCTCGCAGCAAACAAGACGTCTTGGCCTCTCAGTCTGGTAGAGACCTGGAATCACACACTGCTGTTGACTTCTTTGTCCCTATAGGCGGGGAGCTGTGGCGGCTTCAGGCCAAGTGGTGGCCTTACAGGCAGGTGGCAGGTGGCAGCAGTCTTCTTGCTAGTCATGCGATTCTCTTCTGTTTTTGGGAGAGTAGAATACAGGCTTGGGGGTGAAGGGGGAGTGGAGTTGCCTAAATTCTCTTTTTCTCCCCTCTATGTGCAGAGGAGCTTTAAGAAAGAGGGCAGGACAGGCAGCTGGAGCCACCGCGGCCCGGCTCTGCTCCTGGCAGCAGCACCCAGGGGGCTGCTCTGTTCTTGGTTCCCCCTCACTCCCTTGGTGCCTGGGGTGCCTGGGTGGTGCCACCCTGGGACCAGCCCAAGGCTTACAGTTTTGTCTCAGGGCCTGGGGCCTGCAAGGTGGGGAAGGAGTCCCGGATCTTTGCCACTTCCATGGCACACAGGTGCCCAAATACTTTGTTGTACCAGTCAGGAGAACGGCCCCTAGGGAAGTAGAAGAAAACAGGGATGAGTGATGGGTTTTTCCCTGGAGTCTTCACCAGGGAGAAGGAAGAAAGGACTTGTCTCCAGCCTCAGGGATCAATAGCATGGGGCAGAGAGTAGGGGCAGAGGCAGGGGAGGGGTCAGGGCCAAGAAGATTGAGCAGGCCATCCCAGGCGTGGTACCTGAGGTCCGCACGGCAGATGTGTGTGAGCCGAGAGCGGCCCAGACCACAAGGCTCCATGAGGTACTGGGACGTGAGCATGAGGGCCCGCACACCCGACTCTGGCACTGGTTGCTCAGGATCCAGGGACTGGGAGACAAGCAAGCAACCCCCACGCGGCAGGTCAGAGCGCCACATCCTGTCGGAGAAGGGACACATAGGCTCAGATTCCTAGTGCTGGTTTCCACCCCACTTCCCCTGCCCAGCAAGCACAATGAAGTGGCAGCTGTGGCCCCTCACCGAAGCACCACGAAGTCACGGCAGGGATGGGGTGCCATGCTGTCGGTGACATAGTGGTACAGCTCCACACCCGGCATCAGGGCTTCCAGCACCTGGGCCCGCAGCAGGTCCTCATCCCAGAGGGCCCGCTCCCGGAGAACACGATGCAGCACCACAGCTGGAGGCGCTGCCACCTCTGTGGACACCTTCCATAGCTGCAGTGGGTGCCCGTCTGGTGCCTGTGAGCCACAGGAGTGGGGATGGGGGCAGCTGTCAGGGCTGGAGAACTCTGACTCCAGCCCTGAGTCCAGGCCTCAAACTTCAGGGCCTGAGGCTCGACAGGGTAGGCTGCAGAGCTCCTCTGCTAACCCTGGCCAGATTGAGAGTGTGCCCATGCTCCCCGCCCTCTTGCTCTCTCTCTTCTAGATGTCTGCTTTTCAGCCTGTTAGACATCATAAAGAGAAGACGGGACACACATTCTCAGAGGACTCCCAGGCCCTACCATGATGGGCATAGTGCTTGGAAGTGCAGGAAGATGGTGATGATTATCAAGGAGCTCACCATCTAGCACATGGACTACATAAGCTGCCCCATACAGTGCCTTTTGTATGTGCCAGACACCCACCCTGATCCTACATGGGAGGTTTTGTTATGACCCTTTTTACACAGGACACTTCAGGCTTGCAATCTTACTCAGAATCCATGTCCAAGGAAGAGAGTAGCCAGTGCCCAGTGGGGAACAGAGAGAAATCCCCTCCATCCTGGGGCATGACAGAAGACGCTAAATAGAGGAGTAACACATTCCGTTGTCAGCTTGGGACATGTAATGCTTGGGGTCAGGGCAGTCCAGGCAGCAGGACCACACAAAGGTGCAAATGCAAGGATTCAGCTGGACTGTGGGGCAGGGAGAGATGGGAGTTGTGGGTATCAAAGCAGCGTCGTGTCTGAAACGGGACTTTTGGAAGGTCATTCTGGCAGGTGGTTACTGAGAGAGCTCCCTTAGTCTCATTTGGTCCTTGATTCCTTAAAGTACTTTCTTGGCTCTCTGACATTCTCCAAGGGTCAGGCCGAGGCACTGCGAGACTGGGAGGGCAGCTCCTGGGCTCCCTCCTTTGGGTTTCCAGACTCCCCTTGCCTGCACCATGCTCTCCCAGCCCCATAGCAGCCACTCGTGGTGTGGTACTCACCTTCCTGCAAGCCAGCTCCGTGTGCTGGGGCCCCGGCATGCTCATCCAGCCCTTGAAGCGCTCAGCAGCATCACGCAGCAGGTCCTGGACGCTCTCCTCCATGTAGAGGCTCAGGCTCACCCCCGCAGCTTGGGCCCGACGCAGCTCAGCCAGGGCTGGTCCGGGAGGGCTGAGCTCAGCTGCGCTGTAGGAACTGCATAGCTGCAGCACCATATCCTGGGGCACCTGAGAGTGCACACAGAGTGGGCTGCAGCTCCAGAGAGCAGGAGACCCCATGGGGTCTGTCAGGTTCATGTTAAAGGCAGTGGAGAGGTACCACTGTGGAGTGGTAGCTCAGCTACCACAGCAAGGTAGAAGAGAAACCTTGTGGGGGAAGAGTATGAGCTTGAGGGGTATGTGTCAAATTGGGTCCTATGCCTGACTTGGAGCACCAAGCTCAGACTTGGTTCTCTCAGGTCTGGTAAGTAGGTGCCATGGCCTGGGGTTACTCACCTGGAAAAGTTTCTTGCAGTCACTGATCATGTGTGACAGGCCCTGGGTGGCTGCCATGTTCTCACTCAGGTCCCTAGGGCCAGGCCTGCCAATGAGGCTGCGTTTGCTCTTGATCCTAGATGGGCAGGAGGTGGTAAGAGGAGAGATGGCACAAGGGCACAAGACAAGATGGCCAACACACTGCCTTCCAGCTGCCAGAAAGCAACTTTGTCAGACCTGGGCACAAAACAACCTGCTACCTTTTGGAAGGCCCTGCTCCACAGCATCCCACCAGCCCAGAGCCCCTGAGGAGTCAGGCTCACTCCTTGTGGTGAGGCTGAGACACAGCACTGTCAGCCATCAAAGGCCAAAAGTAGAATGGGGCCCGAAGTGTCTGGACCCAGCCCAGCCCTGACATGCCCTGACCCATTTCACCTGGGAGAGGGGCTATCCTTCTTAGAGACATTGAGGTGGAAGATGGAGGGTGCCAGGCACACTGCCAGGTTGCCTGCTGTCATTTGGTTTTCTTTGGCAGAGGCAATGTCACTTAAGAAGTAGAGCAGGGTCTGCAGCACCTCTCGGTTCTCATCGGGGAGCAGCAAGGTGGCAGCTTGTGCTGCTGCCAACCACTGATCCCTGGGGAGCACTGTGAGGAAGCAATAGAAAAATAACTTTCCTTACTTCCCCAGAGGACTTAGCAGCAAGCCTCCTGCTTCCAAGGGGGCAAAAGGCATGGCAGTCCCAAGGGGAGCAGTGAGAGGGAAGGAAAAAGGTCAGTTCTATAAGGCCTTTCAGTGCCTGATCTAGCTCTATTACTAATGTACAGTGTAAACTTAGGTAGTTCCCCTTTCTTCCCTCAGGGCCTCAGTCTACCCTTCCATATAATGGGTTTGGGAGCAGAATGATCTCTCTCCTAGGGCCTTTCCAACTCCAGATAGTAACTGTTCCAGTCAGCTCACAGGTCCAGCTACATCTGCCTGCACCAGGCTTATCTTCCACAAGCCCTGGGATTCAGGGAGGTTGAAAATGGGGCAGGTTATTGGGGGTATGAATGGGTGACTCACACTGGTAGATATGCAGGAAAGTGGTGGTGAGCTTGCTGGTGAAGATGGGCTCAGGCAGGTCCCGGAAATACTGCTTCAGCAGGTCAGCCACGTCGTAGGCCGACTGGCCCTCATAGCAGACATTGTCAGGCGAGGTCTCATTCATTTGGCGCAGATTCTGGATCCTGGACTTGACTCCGGACTTGCGGAAGATGCCCACCTGGTCCATGCGAGGGAGTGAGGGAGGAAGGCATGTATGATTAGGAGGGAGACTGTGAGGCCAGTCCTGGTCGGAATGTCGGGAGTGTAGGCCACCCCAGACTTCAAAGCCTGTCAGGCTTCCTGAGGGGCAGGGTAGAGAGACAAATGGCAAAACCAAATACAAGGATTTTTACAGTTTCAGGGCCAAAGAGAAAGATGCTCTTGAAGAGACAAGTAGGAAAAAGTAGGTCAAGGGTAACTCAGGCTCCCAGAAGACTGGGACTACAAAGCCTGGGCCAGAAAGAAGGTAACACAGAGCTGGGCCTCAGAGTAGAAAGGAGCTTCATCCTTTCTGGGCCTTCCTGAGAACAGCAAAGGCCTCTGGTGGACCAGCCCAAGTGAGGCGGAAGGCCAGAGCAGTTCTCCTCCCCAGCTCCTCAGCCTTCCACCCAATGCTCACCACCACCCCACCCCCGCACCATCTCCCCGCAACAGACTGCCCCAAGAGGGCTCACTTGGTCCAGGCACTGGCTGCGCAAATAACGCATGGCTTGCTGAATGCTCTGTGGCAGTGGCTGGCCCGTGCGCTGCAGGTGGATGAGGGGTGGCACCCCAAACACGTGCTGTCCCCGGTAGTCTGGGGTCTTGTTCCTCCTCATGAACTTGGGCATTGACCTGTTTGGGAGAATGACAAGTGATCAGAGAGGGGGAACACAGTTTGGAGACTCTACCTGTAGTCTTGAAGGATCAGGTGGGGTGAGGAGGGTAAGGCACACACCACAGCCCCAGAGTCAACACTCATTGAGCACCTGCTTTGGGCCCAGCCCTAAGGAGTCACAGAGGAACACAGAGAGCTCTCAGTCTGACCAAGGAGATTACTGTGTCAACAGGCAGTGACAACTCATGTGGCCAGTAGGAGGCCAAGAACTTAGGTGAAGCCCCATTGAGGGAGGGGAACTGTACCTAGTGGGTTAGGGAAGGCTTCAGAGAGGATGTGGTAACTCAGCAGGCTCTTGAGGGATGGGAAGGCGTTGTCCCAGAGGAGAAATGGGGAAAAGGCATTCCAGGCAGAGAGCACATCACGAACAAAGGTAAAGAGGCAGGAAAAAGCATAGCACATTCATGGAAGGATGACTGGTCCCACTCATCTGTAAGGTGGGGCTGCTTAGGAGCGGGGGGCTAAAGAGCCAGAAGGATGGAGCAGGACCAGAACATGAAGGAATCATGGTGGAAGGGAATCTGGACAATGAGGAGCCAGAGAAAGGTGTTTATCTGGAGAGTGACAACCGAGCTGCATTTTAGGACAATCTTACTAGTTACAGCATGGAGGTTGGGACGGAGAAGATACAGCTAGAGGACCTCAGGTCCTCTGCCCTATATTCAGCCTCACCTAGCCCCTTCCGGCATAGCACACCACTTCCCTGGCCTGTGGGCTCTGCCTGCCTGCACCCACCTTCTGGGCTGATCCTGCCCGGGGCTGTGGACCTGAGTCAGCAGCTCTCCACCCTCCATGACCCAGGAGCCACTCACCAGACCCAGCCCTGCTTGTGGGGCACTGTGTACTTCTCCATGAAGGCAGTGAGCCGCAGCAGCGAGCCCTTGTGCAGGAGGTTGATCTGGCCTGCAAACTGCCGGTTGATCTCCAGCGACTCCGAGTTGAGGCTGGGCCGATGGGAGTTCTGGAAGCTATGCCAACGGAGCTTCCTGGTGGGGGGCGGGAGGCAGGGATGAGATGGGTGGAGACGCCCAGAGGAGCAGGTTTGGCTAAACCTTAGAAAAGGTTGTGTGTTCTTCTGGTCCCCATTTTCCTCCCTAAAGAAAAAATGCAGGGAGATGGGAACACTTTCAGTGCTGCTGCTGAGACCCCAGGGTAGAAAACGCTTGGACTCAGCTTCCTAAAGCCCAAGAAGTTCTTGGGGAGGGTGGCACAGAGCTCAGGCCCATCTAGGGCCAACAAGCAGTACAGCCCCGACCATTCCAAGACTATCGTGGATGGGCTGCTCCAAGAAATCCCAGTGGGCAAAGCTGGGGACCACAGACCATCTCCTCTAGCATCCTCTCTCACTTTACAGAGGAGGAAGCTGAGGTCCAAAGAGGAGATAGGTCATCATTTTCTCAAGGCCACAGCAGGGGCAGGTTCAGGATTCCCAGGTCCTGTACTCTGTCTCCTGAGCTGGCTATGAGGGGATAATGCAGCCCCCAGGCACTTGGCCCTGGGCCTCATGACTAAGAAATCAACTTCAGAGACAGAGAGAGAACAGAAGCCCCTACCCCCGCCCCATCCCAATGCAAACTCTTACCTGCAGGGTCTGGTAAGTGAGGCCCCAACACCTGAATCCCTCCGTTCACGTGGCATTGATGCCTGGAGTCCAGCCAGGGGCCCTGCAGCCTCTGCCTCATTCATGGAGTTCCCACTACTGTCAAGTTCCCTGGAGGAGGCCACAGTGTCAGAAATGGAGGGTCCTTCTTCCACAGACAGGCTAGAGGCAGAGGTGGGTTCCCTGCCTGAATGTGCCTCCTGCTCACTGTCCCGAGCCGGGGCCGGGGCCTCAGCCTCCTCCTGTGCCAATGGCTCAGCTTCTGCCGGAGCCTGAGCCGGAGCCAGGACTGCTGGTTGGACTTCAGCCTGCGTCCAGGCTGGGGACTCTCTGTGGGCCGGAACCTCCATCTGGCCCAGAGCCTCAGCTTGGCCTCTGACCTCAACTGTGGCTATTTCTATTGATGAAGTGGCCTGCTCCTCTTCCTCATCTCCAGGCCCCAGGTCTGGGTACATGGCCCGAGACCACAGCTCTACTCGTTGCTGTAGCCCCCACACGTGCTGGAGGATGTCATCTAGGTGAGCATAGCTGCCCCCACTCTCCTCATCATCTTCATCTTCAGCCTCGACCCCAACCAGTACAGGCTCAGCTGGGTACAGCTCAGGCAAGTTGTCATACGTGCTGGCATGGCTGCCCGTTGAGCCACAGGAGCCCCGGCGCCCCTCACAGCCCCAGCGCCTACCTGGCTGCCAGTCTGCCAGGCGGTGTCCGTCCTCAGGACACAGGCTCTCGATGGACAGGGAGCGAGGGAATGTTCCTGGTTTGTGGTCCCCGGGCACATGCACCAGGCAATCACCCCAGTGTGTCCACTGAGGATGACGGAACGAGGCCACAGGCCAGGCCCCCCAGGCCTTTCGAGTGTTGGCACCACCGCCACCGGCTGAGGTGGCAGCCCAGTTCTTGGACCTGTAAAATCCGGCAGAGAGGAAGCTACGGCAACTGTGGAAAGATGAGGCTTTGGAGGCCTTCTCTGAGGTGGCTGGACTACGCTCGGGCTCTGCTTGCCGGCTGCCACTCTTTTCCTTCCGCCTCAGAGACTCAAGGTGCTTGAGGAAGCTACGGTTACGATGGCGCTTCTTGGCTTTGTCCTGGGGACCCTCCTGGCCCTGGGTGAGGCTGAGGAGGGACCGATCACTTGGGGTGGGGGCACGACCTGGCAAGGGCAAGTCTGCTGGCTCGGGCAGTAGACTCAAGGTGATGACTGGCAGAGAGGTGACGCTAAGCTCGGTGAGGACGCTCTCACAGCTTGAGGTCACTGGCAGCCCAGGGCTTGGTGGGGCCAAGAGATCAGAGGACCCCACAGGAGACCAGCGCTTACTTTCCTGTTGGAAGGCCCAGTGGCTACTGATAGTACACTGCTCTTCCTCTTCCGAGTCTTCATTCTGGGAAAGGCATGGCAGGGTCAGGTCAGAGAAGCCCAGGCCACAAGTCCTTGCTTGTACTTCACTCTCTGCTTCCAAACTCCTGGGGGACAATGAGGTGAAGGGCCCTGTTTTCTGGCTGAGAACATGGCCTAGGTGTGGGGAGCTAGCTCTGGGAGTGTCTGAGGAAGCCAGGAGTCACAGACAGAGCTCAGATATATGGTAACGGTAATGCTCAACTAATTAATCTAATCCCCCTTCCAATTTTACAGATAGGGAAACAAACCTACAAACCAGAAGCCACTCGCTCAAAGTCAATGACATGCATTAAGTCAGTGACAGACCTTCCCAAGCTCTAGGCTGTAATCTTGGATTAGAATCACAGAACATAGAGCTGGAGGGAATTTGAGATGTTCTAGTTCATCTCCTTCTTCGCAAAATGGAGAAACTGAGGCCCAGAAGGGAAGAGGTTTCCCTGAGGTCACTCAGCAACCAGTGGCAGAGCTGAGATCAGGCCCCACGAGCCTCCTGTCTCACAGCCCAGGGCTTCGGTAACTTGCCTGCCCCACCTGACTACAGGCCTCTGTAGCCCCCGAAAAAAAAAAAAGCAAGGAAGCTCGTTCCCAGGAAAGAATGGGGTCATAGATCTCCTCCATCTCTACCGCTAGCTGGGGAAAGGCACTGCTCTGGACATCTCAGACTCCTGGGATACAGGAGCTAGTTTTACAAATGGTTTACATGTGCCCTGGGTTTCCTTATGGTGCTACAGACCCCACGCTTGCCATGACTCACCTGCTTGCTTTGAAAATGAACCTCCAATTTCATCGAGGCACAACTGTTCAATGTCATTAGCCTCCTGCAACAAAACAGAAGTGTCCACCCAAGTGTCCCAATCCCCAAAGCCTGGCAGAGCCTAAGACGCACCCACCACTTCCATGCCCAAGCCATCAAAACTTCTTGCAAGCTCCAGTGTTCGTGAAGGTTTAATCACCAGACACAATGCTGGGAAGATTATGGCCTCTGCCCTCCGGGAGCTTATGCAGAGAGTGGAAATACAGAAATGGGACATGTTCAAGGGCAGAACAGACAGAAGACACAGCAAACAAACACAGGGAGAGACAAGCAACTTCCATGAAGGATGGATGCAGTCAGAGAAGGCTTCCTGAAGGACACAAATGGGATTTTGATGGTGAGAAAAACAGGGACTCTTATCCCAAGCTTACACAGGACCCTACAGGTACACATTCAGCAAACAGACCAGTTGGGCATGAGACCAGTGGCACGAAGGCTAATGAGCCAGCTTGCAAAGGGCTTTGGGTGGTATGCTAAAAAGTCTTTGCATTTTTATCTTTAGGCAGTGACAAATTTTAAGCAGAAAGAACAACCATTTGGAGCTTTTACAATGCTGACGCTGGTGTATCTGGATGGATCTGGGAGTGGGGTGAGGGAAGGGGAAGAGGAGAGCTATCAAGACTAGAGCCGGTTAGGCTGAAGCCTTGTGATCAATCTAAGCAGAAGCCATGGTTTGGCCTCAAACAAGGGCCAAGCTGGTGTCAGTAGAAAGGGACTGAACAGAGGAATACTTGAGGGATATAACTTTAGAAGAAAAGAAACAAGGCCAGATCTTGGCTTTCTAGCTGGAGTGACTGGGTGGGTAAGGGTGTCACAAACACGAAGAACAGAATAAACAATGTGACCACAGGAGATGAGCTCTAAGCTGGGCTCCGCCTCCATTAGAGGGTACAAGGGATGTTTTTTCTACACAAGGAAGCCCCAAGCTGGGACCTTGGCTTCCCAGGCTTGGCCCTCAGCCCACCTACCTACACAGGGCCCCCAAAGAGTCCTCGTCCAGAAAAACGTGGTTTTTCTTCACAGAGCCAATATCCAGGGGAAACGAACCTTCTGTATGGCAGAGAGAAGTAAAGATGAGTCCAGTGGTAGATCACAAACTCAGCCTCAACTGCCCTTGAGCTGTAAGGGAAAGGCCAGGAAGGAGGGAGAGCAGGAAGACAAGAGGCAAAGCAGAAGGAAAAAAGCCAGGAATAAAGGAGGGTGCCCCATGAGTTCAGGGGAAAGGTTGGGGAGAGGCCTAGAAGGCTGAGCTGGACCCAAGAATCCCTCCCGTCAGTGAGGTCCATGGGGGTAGCAGGCCCAAGACCCTGAGTGGCTGCCAAGAGCCCAATATGGGCTCCCCCATTCCCCTTGAATCCTGGGCTGATCAGGCAGGGAAATTTCTCCTTGACCCAAGGTGAACTTGGGGGAGTAGGGTGGGAGCAAGGACAGAAGGGACAGGATAGCCCAGTAGCCAAACAGTACCTTGCATCCTCCTGTGGCCCACAGCAGTAGGAGCCCACTCCCTGGAACTTAGGGAGGGGAGAGGGGAAAGAAAGGAGTTGGGAAAATAGGAGAGAGAATCTGAGAAGTCTCACAGCTCTCTACCTTACTGGTGAAGAAAGCCCATGTGTTCCTTCACTCATTCAACTAATAAGTATCTAATTGAGCATCTACTTTGTGCCAGGCACTTGAGAAAATCATACAGCATACAACAGTGAACACAACAAAAATCCTTCCTGTATCCATGGATTTACGCTCTTGAAGGAAACAGATAAGCAACAATACTTAAAACCAAGATGGTGTAGTTAAAAATGTCATGGAAGACATTAGCCAGCGTGATAGTGTAAAGATAGGCTTGTAGGGGTGGGGGCTGCTTACAGAGAGGTGGTTAGCAGAGAGCTTTCTGAAGCAGTGACATCCGAGCTGAGTCCTGAAAGATAAGAAGCAGCTAGCTGTGCAAGGAAACTGCAAAGAGAGTTCCAGGCAGGAGGAACAGCAGCATCAAGACTCTGAAGAGGGAAAGAGTTTGGTGTGAGCAAGTCTAGGTAGAGAGGAGCCCTGTGAGCAAAGGTAAGAGAATCAACGGAAGTTGGAGAATGCAGCCTGGCAGGCCAGAGCAGAGCATCTGGGTATATTTCATTCTGATTGTGCTGAGAGGCCATCGGAGGGTTTGGAGCAGGAGTGACAGTCAGATCTATGGCCAACAGGAGCCCTCCGGCTGCAGTGTAGAAATGAGAGTACAAGAGCACAGGAGGCTGGTGAACTAGCCTAGGTGAGCCATGACACTGGATCACCCCAGATTGTGGCAGTGGAGAGAGTTAAGAAGTAGACTCAGGATACGTTCTGGAGGGAAAAAGGTCTTGCTGAGGGGTTAGAAATAGGGGATGGGGACACGGAAGAATTAAATTAAGGATGACTCCCAGGTATGGGGCTTGAGCAAGTGGGTAGAAGGTGGTACCATCAGGAGTTGGTTTTTAGACCTGTTTAATCTGAGAGGCCCATCAGACTTCTGAATAGAGACTTTACTGGCAGCTGTGAATAGATGAATCTGGAGCTTGGGAATGAGGTCTGGACATTTGGAAGTCATCAGAATATGGATGGTACTTAGATCAAAGATCTCATGAGAAAGAAATGTTGAGAGAAGACGGCCCTGGACAGAGCCCTGGGATATCCTGATCTTTGCATATCAGTTAGAGGAAAAAGAGTCAGCTAAGAAGACAGAACGACAGCCAGAGAGGCATCCAGGAGAGAGGGATGTTCCAGAAGCCAAAGGAAGGAGTGGCCAGTGGCACCGCATGCTTCTGAGAGATGGAGCAAGATGAGGACTGGGAAGTGGCCGCTGAATGTGACCATGTGGAGGTCACTGGTGAATTGACCAGGCAAGTTGACCAGGCGAAGTGGAGGTGAAGCCGGGGTGCAGCAGGGGTGTGGGAGGAAAAGGGGAAGGGAAGCAGCAAGTGTGAAGAACTCCAGAAAAACACAAAAATGAAGAGAAATGAATAAAAACAGAGAAATGAGGCCATCACTGTGGGGCAAGTGAGGTCACGGCTGGGCCACCAGGGTGTACAACTCCAGATGGCATTCCTCACACCGTGTGTACCTACGTGGCGTCCTCAGGAGTGGTACCACGTGGTGATCCTGGTTAAGACCAGGCACTTTAAAGGCATGGGCAACAGCAGAGTTGTGGCAGTGGTGAGAGTAATCCTGTAGAGAGATAATGCAGGAGAGAAAGGTGCAACTGCAGAAGCAAAGTCCCTGAAAAAAATCAGAGCAGGGCTAGGAGACACTGCTTGTGTGTAGTTAGAGAGAGACTCTGGCTTGACCCATTTAACAGAAGGAAAACTGAGGGCTAAGGAAAGTTTTGGAATGGGGGAGGGAGAATAACTGAGTGGCCTTACCTTCAAAAAGCTGCACATACTGAGGAAATCCTGTTGCTCGAAGCCACTCACATGCTCTTCTGGCCTCAGCTTCTAAAACAGAACAAGGGAAAGAAACAGGCAGGGAAATGGGGTTAGGAGGGTGCTGACGCCAGGGCCCTAGGTGTATGCTGCCCACTCCCAGTAGGCAGGCATGTCTCATTCTGGTGATCCAGCAATGGCAAGAGAAGGCCAGAGGGCCTGGCACGTTTGCTCCAGGTCATAGCCAGGTAGGAGGCCCTCTGCTCCCCAAGCCCTACTCTCTGGGCATCCCAGCCCTGGCTTTCTTCAGCCTCATTTCTGCCTGTTCCAAATCCCTCCCAGTCTCCCACCCTTTGCCCAGGAACCAGGATAATCTGGGATCAAGGAGGCCTGCTGGGATAAGCCACAGCTGTGTCCTCCACCCCTGAGCCTTTCTGAGGAAGCCACCCCCTTCCCTGGCCCTGGGTAGACCACCCTAGTTGAAGCAGGAAATAGGAATGTGCAGCCGTAACTATCTTCCTTTCTCATCATTGGATCTAACGTCCTTCAGCACTTTGACAGTCAAATCTCATTTCACACACACAATAACCAGTGATGGCTTTGCTATCCCCATTTTATAGACATACAAACAGGCTGAGCCTATGGTCTCACAGTGGACAAAGCAGCAGTGCCAGGGTTGGAATCCCAGCTGAGTCGGACAGCAGCTCCCCCATGCCCATTCCAGTCATTCCTCCTAAGGGAGCTTCCCATTACTGCCCCAGCTCTCGTGGCCTATTTGTGGCATAGTGCAGTGCTGACTGTCATGAAGACAGTGCTGGCCTGTTGGGGTCTTGGGGGGCCATGGCTAGGTCTGCCTGTTGCCTCTGCTCTGGGAGTTCTGGCACAGAGCTGGGCACCCCTGCCAGCACCAACAGTGATGTGCAGCTGGACTGAAGCCACAGAGGAGGCGCTCCTAGTCAGTGTAGACCGAATACCAGCAGCAAAGCCCTGCCCCGGGCAGTTATTTGCTTCCCACCTAGGTGGTGCCAATATGAGTGGGGCTGGGACCATGGGACCTGGTATCGCAGGGTTGGCGGGGGAAGTCAATTGGCTTTAGCAGAGCTGATCTGGCCATGGAGTCCTGCCCCCAACACGTCCTCCACATCCTTAGCACCTGTGGCCACAGTCTCTCCGGGCCTCCCTGACCAGAGGACTCTAAGGAGACTGGTGAGGTTTTACCAAGACAGAAAGAGCTCACTCTTCCCAGTGCTCACTCATAAGGAAACCCAGGATGAACTCCTATCAGCTAGACAGATAAGATGAAGGATAAAACAGTATTTCAGAGACGCTGGGTAAGCAGACGGGGAGGGAAATGTGGGGGAAGTTGGAAGTCAGTCACAAAAAGTAATGGGCTCCTTTAAAAGTCAAGGGTCATATACTGATGAGGATTTGAGGGGAAGAAGGGAGGGCTCTGCAGCTCCTGGAGCCCCTGCAGGTTTTGGGGGCAAATGGTTACTGGCAAGGATGACTGCCTGTGCATTTCTGTGAGTGCATGCAACAGGTCAGTGCCCACCCCAGCATCTGTCTCTACATGTAGCTGTAGCCAAATCTGCTCATGCCTATGACTCAATGAGGATCACTGTGGGACCGGGCACCTGAATATACCCACAGGCACCTCAGTCTGTGCATGCACCCACCTCTCTCTCTGCCTCTCTCTCTCGCTCGCTTTCTCGCTCTCTCACTCCCTGTCGTCTCTTTCTCTCCCCGTGTGTGTGTGCACACATGTAGGTTTTATGTTACTGCAACTTCCTAACCTAAGATAGAGATCTAGGAATCACCAAGACCTCTGAGGGGAGGCCTGGCAAGTGTCTGACAGAGCCCTACTGGCAGTACCTCCACCTGTCTGGCAGGGGGCAATGCAAGCATGTAAAAGGATTTTGTGCTCCAGGCCAGGATCTGGGTAGTCTGGGTTATGTAAGACCAGCCCAAAGGGAGCCTTTAAGGAACATAGTTCTGCTGCTAGGACAGCTGAGCTGGCTGCCACAGCCACTTCCCTGTCCCTGTTCCTGTCACACCCCTGGGATGAGACCCTTTCCCCATCTCAGCGCCCATCCTGGCAGCCAGCTCTGCTTTCCTGTTATTAGGACAAAAGGGAGGTGCCAGAAGATGCACCAGGTTAGGACTTCCAGAGAGGTGGGCACAGGAGCAGACAGTGGCCCCTAAAGGGTCACAAGTGTGGCCACCCGAGGAAGGGGAGCAAATCTCTAGGGTAGACCTGCATGCTAGGCACACACCCTTAAAATCCCACTGCAACCCTGTTACTCATGGCTACTGGAGAGGAAAGGAGAGATGCACTTCCCACCCCTGATGCTAGGCATTGGCCCTAGCTGGGAGTGGCAGAAGGGGACCATCTCACTCAGGTCAGGGCCGAGTTATTTCATGACTACCTAGAGCCCTGTAGCCCCTTGCTACTCAAAGTGTAGTTCCAGACTAGCAGCATCAATGTCACATGGGAGCTTGTTAGAAATGCAGAATCCCAAGCCCCACACCCAGAACCGATACATTTAACAAGACCCTTAGGCAAACACATTAAAGTTTGAGAAGCCGGGGTCTAAATCACATTGCTCAGTGATTCTCACCCCTGAATGCACTTGAGAATCAGCTAGGAAGTGTTTTTTAAAAAAATAACAGCGCTCGGGGCCCCTCCCCAGAAGGCTGACTTAATTGATCTGTAGTGCCACTCTCCACATTGGTATTTTTGAAAGGTTATAGTATGAGGCTTACTGAGGCCCAAGAGACTTTTCCAAGCTCATGCAGAGAAAAGTGTCACAGCTGAGACTATAACCCTGATCTTTTCACTCCATATTCAGCGTTCTTTACTATTGCATTATGCCACCTGCCCTCATGCCAGCCAAGCAAGGAGCTCAGACTCAAAGGAACCAACTCGAACCCCCAGGCTGTTTTCCTGTTCCTTCTGGTCTAGTGGAGTCACAAGCCAGGGTTCAAATCCTGGTGCTGTCAATCACTAGCTCTTTGACTTTGGGCAGGTTGTATAAGCTCTCTAGGTTTCCATCTCCTCTGTAAAATAGGAGCCATTGTATCCACATCTTTTTTTCAATGTTTATGTTATTTATTTTTCATGTTTATGGGGTTTTCTTTGGGGTCACTCTATCATCTAAGCTGAAGTGCAGTGGTGTTATCATAGCTCATTGCAGGCTCAAACTCCTGGGTTTGTGCAATCCTCCCATCTCAGCCTCTTGAGGTGTGGTATGGTGCATGCTAGAACTATAATAACGTGCACCACACCACACCTGGCTGATTTTATTTCTTTTTTTTTTTTGTAGAAATAGGGTTTCACTATATTGCCCAGGCTGGTCTCCATCTCCTGGCCTCCAGTGATCCTCCTGTCTCCCTGTTTCAGCCTCCCAAAGTGCTGGGATTATAGGTGTGAGCCACCACACCCAGCCAGCATCCACGTCATATAGCTACTGAGAGCATTAAATAAAATACTGGAGAAAGTAAAAGCCCCTGGCACATAATACCAACCACTCAACAAATGTGTTCCACCCCAACTCTGACTCTGAAGGGTCCCAAAGAAAAAGAGGAAACCAGAGAAAGAAGCCCAGCTGTTGCGTTCCCTTGTGGGTCCAGACAATTGCTTTGCCCAGACTGCTGTTAGAATCGCAGCCAAATGGCCGGGGGAAGTGAGGTTAGGAGGCAGAAGTTTCAAAGAGGTTACAATTGCTCCAAAGACAAAGGAGCAAAGGAGTCTAAAGTAGGGCTACAGACCGAATTCCCCACCAGCCCTCCTCAGCAGGAATCTAGAGAATGTAATGGGTTATTACCAAACAGGATGTCAGGGACATTGGCTCCCCATAATACACCATCTCATGGAGGGCTGGGAGGCCCCAAGGCTCCCTCCCAGATGGAGCAGTCAGGGACATATGTCTTGGTGATTAAGGGCTGAACTGAGATGCTCTGCCTTGTCCCTCCCACTCATCTCAGCCTGCCCAGGCTGAGGCCAGGAGGGACCCCACCCCCACCCCCAACCCAGTAGACTCAATTCACCTGGAGCTAGAGCCCAGGTGGCCCAGACTGAAGAATAGCTTATGTATCCTGTGGGGAGAGTGACACCGGGCAGGCTGAGGTGAGTGAGGTAGGAATGCATGTGGCCCCTTGCCCTACCTCTGTATCCAGATGTGCAGATTCCAAGGCATAGCTGCCATCAGTTTTAATGGCTACATTCTGCAGGCGGTGGATGCTCTGGCCAAAGCTAAGGTGATGTGCCGGGATAGGTCAGTAACAGCAGTCAGTTGGCACAAACTGGATTCCACTGAGACTTAAGCTCAGACTCTCCCTGGGGGAGGAGCCCAGCTAATCCAGGCTGGGAGAGTCAGGGGAGAGGGAATACTAGAAAGCCCCAGAGTCCAATCAGGCCTCACAGCCAAACCCGCAGGTCTCCTAGAGGGAGCATCAAAGGACAGGCTGAGCAGTGGCACATGTTTTCCGAGGTCCATGACAGTATCTTCACCCACACTTACACAGTCCACGTCCCAGAGACAGCACAGAGCAGTCTTTTATGCCGAGAAGCATGCAACGAGGAAAAAAGCAGGCCTTCTGGTCTTGAGAAACACTCAAGGGTAGGGTTTATGCACCCAGGAAAGGGGCAGCAGCATTTCTCACTGGGAGATGCAATAATGCCCAAAGATGGTCACTAAGTTGGAAAAAAAAGCTTTTTTCTAATCAAGTCAGCTTCCATGCTTGTCACTAAGTCATCTGAGGCAACGCGTGTCATTCCCTAAGCTTTGGTTTCCAAATGTATACAGTGGGGACTAATAACTTTACCGTCTACCGCTGTGGTTACCTTACAGATCTGATCAGGCTTTTGCTGGTTTTGAAAGTGTCTATATAAAAGTTATCATTAAAGAAGGCTATTTTTGTTAAGATGAGCTGAGCTTTGTACCCATCTAGTCTTTAAGACACAGTTCAGATTGTGTACCAGTTGCAAAGAGGTGAGAGAAAAGAGCCAAGAGGAAGAGAGGGCAGCAGGCATCTAGACTACAGGAAGTAAGGCCTCACCCAGCCAGTGTCAC